AGGGGGCAATTAATTTTTCACGTAGGGCCACGTAGGTTTGGACAGCTTTTTTCCCTTAATAAATGAAATCATCATTTAAAAACTGCATTTTGTATTTACTTGCATTATCTTTGTGTAATATTTAAATTTGTTTGATGATCTGAAACATTAAAGTGTGACAAACATGCAAAAAAATAAGAAATCAGGAAGGGGGCCAACACTTTTTCACACCACTGTATATATATATATATAATTTCAAAATTTTTCATTTTCACTTAGTTTAACATGAAGTACTAAATTAACTGAAAACTAAAATAAAAATATTTAACAAAAAAAACACAATAAAAAAATAATAGATAAATAAAATGCCAAAAACGTACAACAAAATTACTAAAACTTTAACTAAAATTAAAATAAAAACAGAAAATATAAATTCCCTCTAGCTGCTGTCTGTGCAGCTGTCACTCAAATCAGAGTGGCTCTGTGATTGGTGTGCTCTCTCTGGCCTGTCCCGCCCCCTGAGGGGCCAGAGCGCTGCTGTGTGACAGCGGGCGACTGACGGGATGACCCGGAAAATGCACACGCGTGACTCTGTCTGTGTGTGTGTCAGACCCCGCTGAGATGAAGAGTGACTCTCTCTGTGTGTGTGTGTGTGTGTGTGTGTGTGTCAGAGCCTGCTGAGACGAAGAGTGACTCTCTGTGTGTGTGTGTGTGTGTGTGTGTGTGTCAGAGCGTGGTGAGGTAAAGAGTGTGTGTGTGTGTGTGTGTGTGTGTGTGTGTGACCCCGCGGAGATGGAGAGAGACTCTCTGTGTGTGTGTGTGTGTGTGTGTGTGTGTCAGAGCGTGGTGAGGTAAAGAGTGTGTGTGTGTGTGTGTGTGTGTGTGTGTGTGACCCCGCGGAGATGGAGAGAGACTCTCTGTGTGTGTGTGTGTGTGTGTGTGTGTGTCAGACCCCGCTGAGATGAAGAGTGACTCTGTGTGTGTGTGTGTGTGTGTGTGTGTGTGTCAGAGCCTGCTGAGACGAAGAGTGACTCTTTGTGTGTGTGCGGTGAGGACATGACATTCAGCAGAAACTCAGCTTGTTAACACTGATCTCTCAGCCAATATCCTGGCATTCTGAGATCATATTGGTCGCTAACTGTGCCGTTTCGGCCATTAAACTCTATTAGATATGATATTCAGCGATATGAAACTCATATCGGTCAGTCATGAATACTTACTCTAAGAGTTCATAGTTGGATTTTTTATCCAGAGCGTTTCCTCTCATCTCTCTGTAGAATCTCCTGGAAAAGACAAAAGCAGAAATCAGCACGAGCGTCTCTCTGAGAGTCTGACGGGACGATGAGCGATGAACGCACCGGATCTCAAGACATCCCAGCTTCAGCGCCATCTCCTGCTCCACCTGATCCGCAATCTCCAGCATGTAGTCATTCTTCACCTGCAAACAAAAAGATGCAGAGATTTTAGCTGCTGTGGATAAAAATGTCTGCTAAAGAAATAAATGTAAATGAAAGAAAAACTTATGTTCAATAAGCATTATGTAAGCATTTAAAAAGTTCAATACATACATATCATATAAAATTATAATGTATAATTTAGAATTACATTTTTTGGATATAATTTATATATTATAAATTGTATATATATAAGTTATATTGTATCTAATTTTAGATTATTATTCAAATGAATTATTACAATTGAATTATTTAATGGTTAAAATTAATAGAATTTAACAACAAAAAAATTATATGTATTTGGTTAAGCAAAATATGATGCATTAATAATTATGACATCCACAAGTGTAAATAATCATTTATGACATCAATAGGTTTTATAAATAATTTTAAATATTTTTTCGTATTAAAATATTATGTTATACTTTACATTTAATTATTGAATATAAACAAATATAATAAATATACTACAGTATGTACTTTTTTCTTAACACTACATTAACAATTGATCAGTTAAGCCCAATAAGATGCAATAATGTTTGATATCAAATCACACACACACACTGAGAGCCTGTGGCCATCACACACTCACACTCACACACACACACACACACACACACACACACACACACTGAGAGCCTGTGGCCATCACACACTTACACTCACACACACACACACACACACACCCACTGAGAGCCTGTGACCATCACACACTCACACACACACACACACACACACACACACCCACTGAGAGCCTGTGACCATCACACACTCACACACACACACACAGACACAGACACAGACACACACACACACACACACACACACACACTGACGTCATCTGATGAAGCGGGACGCCGCGAGGGCACCTTCACCCACCTGCTGATAAAAATAGCTGAGAGTGGGTTTGTCTTCAGCGAACTGATTGAGGAAGCCCTTGGGCAGGTAACGGATCCTCAGCTCATACCTGAGGAAGAGAGAGAAAAACATGGTAAATAAAAGAGTCATGACAGGAGAAATCACCATGTGCCTAAAACATCTCACACACACACACACACCTGTTCTGATAACAGTGTCAATCTCATGAGGGAAAACTCATCTTTCACCACCAAATCAATAGAAAAACTAAGGAACTATTTTGCACAAAAGAAGTTTATTTTGGGAAGCATTAAGATTTTTTTGCATTATTTTTGACAATTAAGAATATTTTCCACATAAATAAAATAAAATAAAATAAAATGATACATGGTTGCTTTTTTTTATTTATTTGTACTATTGTTATGTTAATATAATATAATATTTTATTTATCAACCATTTTTCAGGGTACTCAAAGACACTCAAAAAAAACACATAACAATAGCTCAAAAACAGCATAACAAAAAAACAAAAACAACAGCCCTTTATTTTATACATCGTTATTTTACTTTATTTACTTATTTTTATTATTTACTATAGTTTTATTTCTTACTTGTTCATTTGATTTGCACTACTGTTATATTACCTTTAATAATAATAATAATTTTATTTATTAAACCATTTCAAAGTACATAAAGATGCTTTATGATAGATAAAAACAACAAATCAGTATAGCAAAAAACAAAACAAAACAAAAATATTTTATTATTAATTACTTTAAATAATAATAATAATAATAATGATAATAATAAATGTTATTTACCAAGTTATTTATACACATTAAAAGACAGAAGGGTGTGTGTGTGTCTCTCTCATGCCCAGAGCTGCACACACATGATCCCTACATCACATAAACACTCAAAACTATCAATACTAGAGGAGTTCTCCTTCCAAACACTCCTGCAGCATCAAACTCTCCATCACAGGACACACATAAATCACTGTCAGACGCAGCAGTCCGATCGCTCTCATTGCTCTTTCCAGCGTGTGCTCTGATCTTTTCCACAGTATGTTACAAGACGCTTCATTTGAAGGGTCTCCTGCTGAAACTCCAGAGGAAATGATCCTTCAGCGCTTTTCATGACTTCCTAGAAGTCACTCAGGAAATGATTGAATCTCAGTTGCTGAGAAGTGAAGAAAGCAGGAGCTCAAGCGCTATTCACACACTTCTGCTTGGAAAAGTGCTTTCTCTGCTGTTAAACTGTAAAATTAGTTCTTCACTTTTGGGTTCACAAAATTAAAACTGATCTAAAAACAGAGGTAAGAGAACTAGAATCAAATTAGCCAAAATATCTAACAAACAAACAACAAAGGTCGAGAACCTACTGTATACGGCAAAAAACGATTTATTTCTGGCCAAACTAAATGTAGGATATATGCTGAATACATGTTGTAAACAGTGCGACTTAAGAAAATATTTTTTCACATTTAAAATATATTTTGTTTAAAGGCCAAATTTTATTAAAAAAAAAAAAAAAAAAAAAAAAAAAAAAAACACTTCCAATCTTAGAATACATTTGGGTGCTTGTAAAATGCACTTTTTAAAAGATATTTTGGACAATACGAATACATTTAAGTCAAGTCAAGTCAAATTTATTTGTATAGTGCTTTTCACAATTCACACGTCTTTACAGAAAATCATACAGTGTATATAAAAGACATAAATTTACTTAAAGATGTATAAAACTTATGAAACACAATATATACATTGTAATAGTATTTTAAATTTAATACATATTTTAATTAATTCATTCATTCATTCATTCCTAATAAGTAATAAATATTTAGTTAATAAATCTTTATTTAAATATATATTCTATTAAAATTATAATTAAAAAATTGCAAATAAATTGAAAAATGTACGTTTTTTAATTAATAAATTGAAAAAATCAATAAAAAAATGATAAATAAAAAATATTTGATGAAATATAAGCAAGTAAACTGAAAATGTATATAAATAATTTTTTTAATATATATGAACTTTATTAGCAACATATATTTTTGGCTTTTTTCATTTTGAACAATATTTAAAAAAATATATACTTTTTTTTACTGTATGTGAAATGTATAGCACTTCGGGAATGATGGGTATTCCAATCCTGCAGGCTTTCTGCCAGCCTAATAATGAGGTCATTTTGTGAGCAGATGATTGGTTGTAGCTGGGACGTTAGCTCGCGCTACTCTCTTGAGGAAATCAAAGCAGCGAGAGTGGTCTGCCCAGAGCTAAAGAACGTCTCGGTTATGTATGTAACCCTCATTCCCCGAAGGAGGTAACGGAGATGTCACGTCGGTGACCGACAAATTGGGATCTCGCTTCGAGAGACCAATCTACTTAGAGTGTAACTAAACGAGCCAATGCACATTGGCATGCAATTATTGCATCCAGCTGCCGCTGATCACAGCGTGAGCATAAAAAGGCATCCGGTGCAATGCATACCAGGTTTTCGCTGAGGAACCGAGCCAGTGACCAGGCCGCTCAGCGTTGGTACAGCAGCGGTGGCGACAGGAAGTGACGTCTCCATTCCCTCCTTCAGGGAACGAAGGTTACATACGTAACCGAGACGTTCCCTTTCAGTCGGCCACTCCGAGTCACATCGGTGACCGACGAATTGGGATCCCTACCAAAGCGCCATGGATGCTGCCCCTTCCAGTGTCCTGTGCGAGCCGCCTGCACCCCTTTGTGGTGTAGGCCGGGGCTCGCAACAAGAAGACCAGTTACTGTTGTCATAGCACTACCCACTCAGAGAGATTGGATAACACTGGGAAAACGTACCCGTTCCACTTGGAACAGGGATGCTGCGGAAGCCCTATCCTTCCCGAAGGAGGTTTCGGAAGCAAATACACATATGAACATCCGTTTAAGTGCATATGGAAAAGGCCTGGCGCTCCGTCACGTCTGGCTGCCGAGGGGATGGAGGAGCTCGATAGGGTCTACTGTATGGACACTCTGGAGAAGTTTCTAGCAAGCCGACACTAAACCGGGACCTCTCAGTGCCTCTACCCATTTGAGGTGAGAACACAGGAGGATACCGGCTCCACACAAAAGCTATAGGATCTAGCGAACGTGGGGGTCGCCCAGCCCGCAGCTCTACAAGTATCTGCCAGCGAGGCACCACGAGCCAGCGCCCAGGAGGATGCAATACTCCTAATAGAGTGCTCGCAACCTGAGCGGGCAGGGCACACCTGTGCCTGATAAGCCAGGGTGATGGCATCCACTGTACAGTGGGCCATCCTCTGCTTAGAGACAGCATTTCCCTTCTGCCGGCCTCCGTAACAAAGAGCTGGTCTGAGGTTGTAAAGCTTTGTGTCCGGCCTACGTAGCCTCTGAAGGCTCGAACAGGACAGAACAAAGCTAGGGCTGGGTCTGCCTCCTCCGGGGGCAGTGCTTGCAGGCTCACCACGTGATGCCTGAAGGGAGTAGTGGGAACCTTGGGCACATAGTCGGGCCGGGGCCTCAGGATTACCTGGGAGTCAGCCGGCCCAAACTCTAGGCACGAATCGTCGACTGAAAATGCGTGCAGGTCCCCTACCCTCTTGATGGAGGCCAGTGCAAGCAGGAGCAGAGTTTTCAATGAAAGAAACTTTAGCTCGACTGACTGCACAGGCTCAAATGGGCCCTGCTGTAGTGTTTTAAGCACTAGAGACAGGTCCCAAGAGGGTATGGAGAGGGGCCGGGAAGGATTTAACCTCTTGCCCCCCTAAGGAACCTGATGACCAGGTCATGCTTCCCTACCGACTTCCCTTCCACGGGGTCATGGTTAGCAGCAATCGTTTATTTTATTTTATTTTTTCTTTTAGCGACATAGACTTAAAGAGTGGAGGGAGACAGCCTTCGTTCCAACCCTTGCTGCAAAAAGGAACGCACAACCCTGATCGGGCATCTCCGGGGTTCTTCTCAGTGAGAAGAACACCACTCGATGAACAGGTTCCACTTCAAGGCATAAGCGTGTCTTGTAGACGGTGCTCTTGCCGAAGTGATGGTGTCAACTACCTCTTGGGGTAGGTCACCTAGAACCTCCGCGTCCCATCCAGGAACCAGACATGAAGTTTCCAGAGGTCTGGACGCGGGTGCCACAGGGTGCCCCATCTCTGAGTCAGTAAATCCTTCCTCAGAGGAATCTGCCAGGGAGGAGCTGTCGCGAGGAGCATTAGTTCGGGGAACCAGGCCCAAGTGGGCCAATACGGCGCCACAAGCAGGAACTGCTCCTCGTCCTCCCTGACCTTGCACATGGTCTGTGCGAGAAGGCTCACAGAGACACAGGGGCATTAAGGAACCGAACTTTGTCGGCGTCCCTCATATCAACCAGACACAGCCAGAGATGGCGTTCCTGGACCATAAGTGTGGACATCGCATGACCCAGAGAACTCGCGGTGACCTTCGTCGCTCGAAGTGCGAGGTCAGTAGCGGTTCAGAGCTCTTTCATGCCAGCGAGGCACCACGAGCCAGCGCCCAGGAGGATGCAATACTCCTAATAGAGTGCTCGCAACCTGAGCGGGCAGGGCACACCTGTGCCTGATAAGCCAGGGTGATGGCATCCACTGTACAGTGGGCCATCCTCTGCTTAGAGACAGCATTTCCCTTCTGCCGGCCTCCGTAACAAAGAGCTGGTCTGAGGTTGTAAAGCTTTGTGTCCGGCCTACGTAGCCTCTGAAGGCTCGAACAGGACAGAACAAAGCTAGGGCTGGGTCTGCCTCCTCCGGGGGCAGTGCTTGCAGGCTCACCACGTGATGCCTGAAGGGAGTAGTGGGAACCTTGGGCACATAGTCGGGCCGGGGCCTCAGGATTACCTGGGAGTCAGCCGGCCCAAACTCTAGGCACGAATCGTCGACTGAAAATGCGTGCAGGTCCCCTACCCTCTTGATGGAGGCCAGTGCAAGCAGGAGCAGAGTTTTCAATGAAAGAAACTTTAGCTCGACTGACTGCACAGGCTCAAATGGGCCCTGCTGTAGTGTTTTAAGCACTAGAGACAGGTCCCAAGAGGGTATGGAGAGGGGCCGGGAAGGATTTAACCTCTTGCCCCCCTAAGGAACCTGATGACCAGGTCATGCTT